TTCATCATTTATCGAATATGAAGCAAAATGTATATTTCAAAAGTATCGACCATCAGCCGTACGTGTATATACTCCATCATCTTATTTTGTGAATTTCTGGGAATAACCCTTAATCAGATCAATACGATTAAATCTACTCAGTATAAGCGATTATATGATTTATTGTCACATAATTTATTATGACCAATTTTATTATGAATTTTATAAATTTTTCATAAATTTTCTTAATATATTATTGATAATATACAATTTAAATATATTCATATATTAATATCAATGTATATTAATAATATAATATAATAAAATATCTTAATGTAACAACTAATATAAATTTCATAAATTTAGGAATAAAGAAGAAGAAGAAGAAGAAGAAGAAGAAGAAGAAGAAGAAGAACTAAAGAGGAGGAGGAGAATACGGCAGAAATTTATGGAAACAAGGACCAATTCATTCATAACTTAAAACTTTAGATTCAGGTTTAAAAGGATCTTTAAACTGGTTTTTTCCTGTTGGCAGATCCAAATATTGTATATTATTTGAATTTTTTGCGATGATGGATTTCTCGCCAATTAAATCATTTTTTAACCTTTTTTTTATTTTTTTTTTTTTGTGTGAATAATTCATGAATATATATATATATATATATATATATATATATATATATATATATATATATATATATATATATATTTTTATCTAAACACTATTATATATAGACTATATATATATATATATTACGATAAACAAAATCAATTTACAAATTCATGAATTATTCACTTTGAAAAAAAGTTATTGATTTAATTGGCGCAATGTCTTTCAAATAATATAAAAAACCTCCGAATCCGTTAAATATGGTGATGAACAAAACTGGTAAATTCTTTCACATGAACTGACATCTTCAGGTATAGAATAATGTACAGGGTTTTAAATAAACAAAAGTTATTTGAACCTCATACGTCGAAACCGACAAGAATTACAGAGAAATTTCCATCACACAAATTCATAATAACAATATTTTTAGGTTTTTTATATTATTAATGACGTAATTTTTGTTTTGTCGTTTTTATATATATATATTAAAATATATATATATATATATATATACATTATCTGTGGACTATTATCCGTCTATTGCTTCTTTGCAAATCACACAGGGTTAAATAAACAAAGTTGTTGAACCTCATACGTCGAAACCGACGGGAGAGTTTTATATATATTAGGTTGGTGCAATATTCGTCAAAACGAAAATACAGCGTCGCGACTTAGCACGCTAAAAAATTTTGTTACTGTTAATAATAACAGATTAAAAAAAATAAAAAATCTTTCGACCTGTATGTATCATGGCAGGCAGGCAGACAAAAAAGACGTTAAGCTCAAGGATCGAAGTTTTAAATTCAGGATTGTATTAGTGGATTATAGCTTTGTTCGTGAATTTGAAGTCATATTGATTCTGAGTTCAATCCCTGGATCAAATAGTACAGGCTCAAATATTGTAGCACTATATATGCAGAAGACGAGATATCCCGAGACATGGACAGTGAAACGACAACATTCTACTCCCATAGTTTAATTAAAGAGTTCAATTCGATATTTGCTGAGATCCGAAACGTGATAATATCAACAAATATCAGGACTGATATCCCAATCTCTATCACTCTGTCTTTCATCCTCAGTAACCCCTTATGTATTAGTGGTTTTGTCACTAAAAAAATAGGCATAATAAAAAAAACTAGTTTTATGTTCAGCTTTTATTAATAAAGATGAATATAGTCTTTTGTTTTTAATCAAATTAACCCATGCAAGGTATTAAAGCCAGTAAGATTCAAGTGATTACTCCGTGTGAAAGAATTAGAAAACAGAATCATTACTGATGAGTGAGAACAATAGAAGAGTAATCATGAAGAGAGTAGATAGCGTTTGACATTGCATTTAAGCATCACTGGCATAGCAATATACTACACCCGGTAGCAAGGCCGTTGACCGGGAGGTTCTGAGTAGCGTGGAACCACCTCTTTATTGCTATTGTTTCCGGGTACGCCCTGACCCGGGGTAGTAACACCCCGGATCAGGGCAAATAGTTAACCCCCAAAATGAGGTCAAATCACAATGAAAGTATAAAAACACGTGTTTATAATGAACACACTAGCAATAGATTTTAATATTAAAAAGATTACCCAGCAATTTATTCTTGTATATAAAAAATATCACAAACAATATATTTTTAAAAGTACTAATGTCCACAAGAAAGTTAAATTTCAACATTAAATGACCCATAAGGAGTTGATATGCCGTTAAGCAAACAAAAAAAAATGTACTTATTTTTTTGAAGAGCAAAGTTTGTCGGAAAGCATACAGCCGGAAGAAAGTTCCACAAGCGAGAAGTGTGATAAAAGGAAGTTGCAGTTATATGTAGCCAATTCAACTGTAGACTGATGAGACTTTATTGCTCGTCTTGAACTCACTACCCAGTTGTAATTGTTCTAGCAACATAAGAATTATCATCATTCTTCTATATCGAAGTATTTTCGTGATTTTCTAAGCGTAACTGTCGGTTTAGCACAAGGCCGAAAGTTTGGAGCACCCAGTGAAGATCGAACTCACTATTCACTCGTAATTGATCTTGCGAGACTTTTTCTGATCTTTGTGTTTAAAGCGATTTAATATGCGTAGCTTTTATGTTACACAAGACCGAAAGTTTAGAACACCCAGTGAAGATCGAACTCACTACTCTGTCGTAACTGAAATTGTAAAACAAGCTTGTTAACTACTGCGACTCCCAAGTGGATGCTTCCCATATCGCGACACTCTTAACCTGTCTAAGGTCAACCGTTATCTTCCTTACATATCTTCATAAACAATACTTCTTATTCTGTAATTCTCTATCTCGAGTGACTCTTGGGTCTTGTACAGGATGAACAACACGCTGTTGAACAACAAGCTATTTACTAAGCTTAGGTTAGATGGAGCACAAGGCAGAAGTATGAAGAATTCACGGAGGATCGAACTTACTACTCAGTCGGAAAAGATCTAGCGCGACAAGCTTGTTAACCATTACACCGAGTCGTAGTTTTCAAAATCGTTTGCTAAATGTAGAACAAGGCCGAAAATTTGGGGCATCCAGTGAGGATCGAACTCGCTATTCAGTTGCAATTGATCTAGCGAGACAAGCTCGTTAACCATTACTCCACGTCGAAGCGCCCTTATTGTGCTTATATGTACCCGGGTTATTATTTTGTTACGAACAAGACGACGTTACTTTTCGAACAACCTAAGATTTGCCAGAGTCGACGTTTTTTTACTCTAACACCGCCCCCAAACAAAAAAAAACTGGTTTTCCATTTCCTTGGTTAATGGCAAACATAGAAAATAATGTTATCTTCCCATAGCCTACGTTCTAGCCTTTCTTTTTATGTGCCGTGTCCCTTCAGGACGTAGGCGATCATGGCTCTCCACTTCTCCTTATCCCTTGTAGCTCTCAATAGGTTCTCTCCCTTTGCTATTTCCCCCAGACCATGTTCTGTCATCCACTTGCTTAAGCCCGCTAGGTATGTCATACGCTGTTTTCCCTTGTCTCTCTTTCCTTTTATGTACCGTGTCACTTCAGGATGTAGGCGATCATGACTCTCCACTTCTCACTATCCCTTTAAGATCCTTCCCTCTGCCAACTCCCCCAGCCCACGTTCTGTCATCCACTTGATTAAGCCCGCTAGTTATGTCATACGTTGCTTTCCTTTATCTCTCTTTTCAACCTGTGAGTATCAGATTCTCCAGGCTTTCATTTCTCATTACGTGTCCCAGAAATTTAATCTGCCCCTTCCTGGCGTTAAGTATAAACTCCCCCCCCCCTTGTTTGCATCCTCTTTAAAACCTCATCGTTGCTTACACGCTCGGTCGATGATATCCTTAGCATCCTTCTGTAGAACCTGTTGCTTCGAGTCTCATCTTTGAGAGATCGCCCAACATTCGCTGCCGTAAAGGAGGGCAGATGTCACGTAGCGGCTTAGTAAATCTTTTCATTGTTACCAAAGAAATCCTCCTGTCTTGTAATACTCTGCCTAGCTTTTGGAATACGTCTTTGGTTATCCCAATACGTCTTCGGATCTCAGTGTCTCATTTGCCGTCCTCTGAAATTGCCGCACCTGTTTGATATTAGTGTCCCTGACCTGTAAATTGCATTTCGGGCTCTTCTTTCTGCTCATGAAATGCATTCTATCTTCTTGTAGCTTAGTCACTTCACGCTCTCTTTCGGTAACTTCTGTAGAGGTTTTGTAATTTCTTTTATGTGTCTGCTATCATTCCTGTCAAATTTCTACACTTTCTCTTCTTTTCTCTTCTTCTCTTTCGGTCTTCCTGACATGTTTCGTATTTCCGCCTGGCCTTCTTTGCTTTGTCCATTCTTCTTGACAAGATAATCTCGTGTTTATTTGTGAACGCCTCGCATTGCCTTCGTAACCAAGGGGCATTTAATCAAAAGCTGCTTGCGTCTTGTCTTTGTTTTCTCTTCGGTGCTGTGGCGGGCGTCGGTGCAGGGGGAATGGATATGCGATATAGATTTGGCAGGAAACACAGTTAAAGAATCTCTCAAAGTCACAAATGAAGAAAGTAAGGATTCCAAGAACAATTCATCGAGAGAGAAACAAAAGAAAAGTCGGTGAAGTAAGCGAAAAAACAAAAAACAAAAACAAATAACACCACTGATTGTTTGATTCTTTTTTACGGTTTATCAACCTTTTCAGGTTATTTAAAACCAGAAAATAGGTTTATGGATTGATTGATTAGTTTTCTACGGCTATTGAACTCCTGGCAGGTTATTTAAATATTTTTAGATTGTAAGAATCGTTTCTGAGATAATAATGACTTAGCGATACATGTCTTACTAATTAACCCATAGCTGGGGGAGAAAAGTTGGATTCATGATTTCATAAAGGGTATTTCCGCGTAAGGGGATATAACGAACCCATCGAGGATTTGAACTCGGATCTCCGATTAACAATTTCGAGCTTGGTATTCCCAAGCAGTCACCCATCTCGGTACTGACCCGACTCGACCTTGTTTAACTTCGGTGATCGTACGGGAACCGGTGTTTTGATCGTGATTTGTACGTAAGCGAAGAAAGTAAAAAAAAATTAGGAAGAGTTTATTTGGGAGAAAAGCAAAATAGAAATCGGATAAATAAACAAAAAATAAACAGAGAAATTAATTTAAATTAAAAAATGCAGAATGGTAGACTGATTGCGTTTTTACGGCGTATCAACTGTTTTGAAGGTTATTTAAAGCCAGGAAATATTTTTAGACTTTTTGAGCATTTTTGAGATGATAATGATTTATTGATACTACTAGTTAAACCCATAGCTTTGGGGAGAAGAGGTTATTTGTGCGTAACTGGAATTGGAACTCGGCTCTCCGAATAACATTCCGAGCCGTTATCCATTACACCACCCGCAAATCTAAGCTTACAGCACCAGCTATTCCACAGCGGTCACCCACCTAGGTATTGACGTTGCTTAACTTCGGTGTTAGTACGTGAACCGGGGATTAAACATGATATAACCATAAACGTTTCCATTTCCTTCATGCAGGAAGCAAACAACATTAGAATACTGACGGTCATGGCTCTCTTCCTATCGTTCGACCCCTCACTATCTCTCCCACGCCTTTTCCTCTCATCCTTTTACACCAGGGGGTTCTCAGCCAGTGGGTGTAATTTCCACAGGAGAGAATTTCAGTGTAGTGGGGGTCTTCTAATTTTCTTGTTTTTTATTTAAAGAAGTTGGGGCCTATCATGAGAATCTAAATGAAAAGACTTTATGATGAATCTGATAACCAACACGGATTAACAATTTTGAGCTTTGTATTCCCAAGCAGTCACTCATCTAGGTATTGACCAGACCCGGCGTTGCTTAATCGGTAATCGTACGGGAAACGATGTTTAAAGGTGATGTGTTCGTAAGCCAAGGAAGTAAAAATTTTAGGAAGTTTTTTTTTTTTGAGAAACATGATTAACAATGGAGAAGAAAGGACTCAGTGTGTATTTCGTTGCAAACCTTTGTCAAATGATTTTTTGAAACCAACAAAATTCAAGCAGCATCTGCAAGATGTTCATCAGCAAAAAAAGGACAAGGACGAAGCCATTTTTGAACTTGAGGATCAGGCTCTCAAAAAGATGAAACTGGATTTAACAGGAACATTCCAAGCAACGAATAAAAATGTTAGCGAAGATTTTATGCCGTATCACTGGAGATAAAAAAGCAAAAAAAAAAAAAAACCAAAATATCATTTTCAACTGATCAAACCTTACGCTCTCAAAATGATTAAAAGGCAATTTATGAGGTTTCTTAATAAGATTTCTTTTATATACTCAGCAGTTATCACATTGCATTTCTGTATTTTAGGTACCCTGTTGATGAAAGAGGTACTGACCAGTGGATTGGAAGTGATGGCCTATTTCCCCGTCTACCTCATTGACCATATATCACTCCTATGGATTTCATTTACATCTTATTCAGAAATTTACATCTTTCTTTGAACTACTCTCTATATATGACTTCTGGCAAACACACAAGCAACGTTCACAGAGTGTTAAACACACACACACACACACACACACACACACACACACATATATATATATATATATATATATATATATATATATATATATATATATATATGCATCCAGGGTATCCATAAAGTCACTTTACAATTTAAAAATATATTACAATGGCAATTGATGAAATATCTTAATCAGATTTGTGTACTCAGTCAAAGTTTTTAATGACACTGCATTTGTGTATTCCAGGTACCCTGTTGATAAAAGAGGTACTGTTAAATAAAATCCCTTACATGTCCAAACTGGTCGATTAGAAGGGATGACCCAATTCCCTGGCCAACTCATAAGATATCGCTCCCCTGGACTTAATTCTATGGGGTTGTGTTAAAGATAGCGTTTATCGAACAAAATATTGGACATCACTGATATAAAGATGCCATTTCCACCATTAATGAGGCTATACTCCAGCGAACAGGCCAAGAATCGAGTTCCGTCTTGATGTGTTTCGTTCAACTAATGGTGCCCATAGAGGGGTGGATTAAAGTAGGATTAAAAAATTCACTATCTATTCCTCATTTTGCAACAATTTCCATATATTTGTCTGTGCATTTGTTTTATTTATATTTTTTTAAATTGTAATAAGATTTTATAGGCACCCTGTAGAATAATAAAAAAAAGGATGTTTCATTAAGATGGATTATATATAAGGGTGTTTCAATAAGACAGATCAAAGTCAGCAGTAAACAAATCAGTTTTATTGGTGAAAATTTATTTGTTCTCTATTGGATCATGTTATTTAAGTCATGGCAATTATGTGTGAAAAAATAATATCGCCCAAATGTTCGCCAAATCTGAAAGAAAAAAAAAAACATTAGACGTTTGAACTTAATTCACATTTAAAAACGGTCCAAGTTATTAGAACACACTTTATTCTTATAGCGGAGTGATAGGATGATTTTAGATATGAAAGAAGCCTTCTTGAGAAAAGACCTATAAAATCCTTGTTTTTAAAAATTGTATAAGTTTTTTCTTAATACGCAAGTACTTTCAACTGTGCGTTCAGTCATACTCAGGCATGAAAATTATTTTGTTTTTAGTAAAATCCAGGTAGCATTCGAGACGAAAAAATTAAATGCGAATCAAAATATGTTTTTTTTTAAATGTGTTATTGTTAACGGATGCAAAACTTTTGGAGCGTGCAATCAAAAAAAATAAGGATCATAAGATTCATCGAGTGATTTGTAGGTTAATGCGACTTTTGTTTGCGAATGGATTTCGCCATTTTATATCATTAACATTACTAATATATATATATATATATATATATATATATATATATATATATATATATATATTTATATATATAGGTTTTTTGTAGGTGAGTTATTTGTTAATAAAAATTGCTGTTTTGTTTACGTTCTTTTTAATAAAAAATATTATTTTATTTTTAGGTTAAAAAACGCCTGATAATTATGCACCAGCCCAATATATATATATATATATATATATACAAAAAAAGAAATTACTTCAACATGGTTTTGTCTTTTGGAATTTTTATGTAAAAATACATATGGTCTGTTATAATAAATATATCAAGCTCTCTGTTGATCAATTTTAATATTTAATATTACTAGAATCGACCCGGATTATATATATATATATATATATATATATATATATATATATATATATATATATATATATATATATATATATATATGTAAGCAAATATATAGTTTCCATGTTATAAAATAGAATTCAGGTTTGTATTTCCAGTAGACATATATTTGCTTACATACTGTCTACTGGAAATACAAAACCTGAATTTACTTTATAACATGGAAATCCATATATTAGCTTACATACTGTCTACTATATATATATATATATATATATATATATATATATATATATATATATATACTAGCTTAAAAGACGCGCTCAGTGCGGACCTGTAAACTAAATCCCATGGAGGTCTAATTGGGCACATGATTAAAAACTACAGCCCAGCTTAGAAAACAGCAATGATAATTTAACTTTCAATTCCTCAATTCAAAAACCTCATTTAAACTCCCATTTTGGCTATAAGTCCAATTTTGGCCCAAAAATCCATTTGGACCGAAAATGTGATATGGGCTGACATTCTAAATCAGAGCGAAAATTGGGTTCTTCAAATCACAAACTCAGTGGAATTTGAAAACCTCACGTCACAAAACCTTTCACTTCAATTCCGATTCCTTGGTATATCGAAGAAATAAAATTGATCTTCTCAATTCCGATTCCTTGGTATATCGAAGAAATAAAATTGATCTTCTCAATTCACAACGTTTTGGAGATATTTTAAACGGAATGTAAAACAACAATAAAAAAATTCAACCCCGGGATTATCCTGATTCCAAAAACATATAAAATGTAGAACAAGCCTATATATAGCAGCACTAAAAGAAGGGCTTATCTCTAGGAATATTTACTATAAAAAGAGCCTATATTTAGCAGCAGTAAAAGAAGGACTTGTCTTTAGGAATATTTACGATAAAAAATGTTAAAAATTCTTATATTCATATAACGATCGTAGTTCTGGTAAATAATACCCGTAAAGAATCAGCGGAACAAAAAAGTTGATTGAAGAACAGGTTTAGTGACATGAGAGACATTGGCTAATAATACAGTCGAAGAGAAGTGGGGCAATGCGTGCGACTCGAGCGCTACGATTGCGACCGGCTTTCCGACAACCGTTCCTATGAGTAGACGTTCTTCTCATAACGGATGGACGTGTCCATGACCAACAATTAGTATAGAAAAGGTTCATCCACTTTCTACACAACAAAAATGCTATCTACTTAACTTTATATATATATATATATATATATATATATATATATATATATATATATGAACAGTGTCTATATTTAGCAGCATAAACGATAAAGATGGGCTTATCTCTAGCAATATTTAATATTTAGTGTCTATATTTAACAGCATTAAACAATAAAAATGGGCTTATCTCTAGCAATATTTACTAGCCCCACTAGCCAATAAAGAAGGGCTTTTCTCTAGTAATATATCTATAAAAAGACCCTATATATAGCAGCAGTAAAAGAAGGGCTTATCTCTTGGTATATTTACGATAAAAAAATGCCGACTCGAGCGCTACGATTGCGACCGGCTTTCCGATAACCGTTCCTATGAGTAGACGTTCTTCTCATAACGGATGGACGTGTCCATGACCAACAATTAGTGTGGAGAAAGTTGATCGTCTTTCTATACAACAGTTTCCTTCTAAGGAAACGGTTAATGTTACCATTATCATCATTACAATTGGAAACGAATAGGAAAGAAAAAAAAAGCGATAAAAGGGAGGAAGAAAAAATATAAAAGAAAGAAAAAGAGCAAGGGAAAAGTACATCAAGAAAGAAAGTTTTCTGATTTATTCCAGCCCAAGTAGAGAACGTGGCTATTTGGCTTGAAATAATCGCGTCATCGCAACACAAAGACCAATTCCGTTGGGAAGAATTATTGTTGAAGACGAAGTGAAAACTATTGAAGCGGTCAAGAATCCAAATGCGATTCCAACATTCTTCATATTAGGAAGATTGTACAATTTCTCAAAGACTTCTGCTTCCTTTACGGCCATGATAGTTCCATTAACATTGGTTTGTTGCCATTCTTATTAATGAGAATATATTTTATTTATATAAACTGCAAATTCTATCTTTCAATCACTTGGCGCTATGATTTCAAAATATATCCAACGAAATTATTGATTATCATATTCTATACTAGCAGTTTAATCAGCCTTCGACTGGGTGTTTCATTAACTGGGAATGTTTGCCGTTCAATGTTTAAAGTTAGCCCGCCCGAAAATAAACATTAGTAACAAAAATTGGGTGAAACTGAGACATATCCCAAAATAGGGTGGGTAACAATTTGAAATGGTGGTGGCACTGAAATGGGCCGTTTTTGCGTTCTCAATCTTGCAAGGAAGGAACCTATTCCCTGGACTGTCATAAAAATAATATACGATAATTTTTATTTATAATATAATTTTTTATAATTCTAATAATCTTTTGCGTTAGATTTGAACTTTCTAAATTGATTGTACGTTGTTTTTTACAGACATTAAATTTTGTCTTTGATTTTGCGCAAAGTGTAAAAAATCAGTTTTTTTCGATTTTTCATCTTCAAGATTGTAATTTTTTCCGGCCAATTTAGACCCAAAACAGGCATTGAAGAATTATCTAACAAACAGAAAATATTTCATCGAAATCGGATGAAAACTGTGTAAGCACATAAACAACATTCAATAACACACACACACACATTTGGAGAATTATAGATATAGATCTTCTATCCACTGTGTATAGTCTAGAAACGATTAAATAAAACGAATTAATTCGTGGAAGTTTTTTAAACCCGAGCAGTTTTTTCATAATCGCTCATATACTGAGGTATTATAGTCCCCGTAGTATTGATCATAATTTCTTCATCACTCATATACCGAGGTCTTATAGTCCCCGTATTACTCAGCATAATTTCTTCACCACTCATATACCGAGGTCTTATAGTCCCCGTATTACTGAGCATAATTTCTTCATCACTCATATACCGAGGTCTTATAGTCCCCATATTACTGGCCATTTTCTTTTCACTCATATACCGAGGTCCGTCATTTGAGCATAATTTCTTCATCACTCATATATATACCGATATACCGGTCTTATAGTCCCCGTATTACTGAGCATAATTTCTTCATCACTCATATACCGAGGTCTTGTTGTCCCCCGTATTACTGAGCATAATTTCTTCATCACTCATATACCGAGGTCTTATAGTCACCGTATTACTGAGCATAATTTCTTCATTACTCGTATACTGAGGTCTTATAGTCACCGCATTACTGAGCATAATTTCTTCATCACTCATATACCGAGGTCTTATAGTCCCCATATAACTGGCCGTCATTTCTTTATCACTCATATACCGAGGTCTTATAGTCCCCGTATTACTGAGCATAATTTCTTCATCACTCATATACCGAGGTCTTATAGTCCCCGTATTACTGAGCATAATTTCTTCATCACTTATATACCGAGGTCTTATAGTCCCCGTATTACTGAGCATAATTTCTTCATCACTCATAGTCCCCATACCGTCATTTCTTTGGAGGTCTTATAGTCCCCGGATTACTGGGCGTCTCTTCTTCATCACTCATATACCGAGGTCTGATAGTCCCCGTATTACTTGGCGTCACTTCTTCATCACTCATATACCGAGGTCTTATAGTCCCCGTATTACTGGGCGTCATTTCTTCATCACTCATATACCGAGGTCTTATATTCCCCGTATTACTGGGCGTCTCTTCTTCATCACTCATATACCGAGGTCTTATAGTCCGCGTATTACTGAGCATAGGTACCATAGCGAAAAGCTCATCTTAACAATTACCATGGACGTATTTATAGAAAGGACATAGAGAAGCAACCTTACGGTGGGGAGAAAGTGACTGAAGCCGAGCTGCCATATAAGGACCAATAATATTGCTGATTCTTCTTTGCATTTTCTCAAGGAACTCCAGATAAATAGCAGGTGTACCGGACCATATGCGGCAGCAATATTCTAAACATGGGCAAATAATAGACTTAGAGATATATGAGATAGATTTAAGAAAAATGGTTTTCCTGCGACATAGTGTATCAACTTTTTTAGCATCTGTCCTATCAATGGATTCAATATAATCTTTCAACTTCATGTCATCTGAGAAGTTTACACCGGCAAGGTGCAACGCGTCACTTATATATATAATCAATATATAACCAAAATTGTTCTATCAGTAAAAGTTCTGTATATATGGGTTAGCTTATCGGCCGGTTCACACTCCTCTGCGGTCTTTTGGAAAGGGGTAGAGATTTATCACTTGTTTCTGGTTAAGGATTGGGTTTCCGGTTCATTCTAAAGTCTGATTCAACTTTATTCTTCTAACATCTCATCCTGAACTCTGAAATGTTACTTAATAATTCATTTTCTTCTCAATAGTAGTAGATAAATTTGCCTATCGCCCGGTTCACACTCCTTCCTGGTCTTTTGAACAAGTGTTGAGGTTTATCCATTGTTTCCTGTTTAGGACTGCGTTTCCGGTTCCTTCTAAAGTCTATCCATTCTCTTTTATTCTTGCGTCTTAGTGGCATTATCGCCTTGCTTGTGGTGAATGGATTTTTAAAAATAATCTAGGATTCTGAGGAATCTTACTAAAATCAAAAATAAATTACTTTGACGAAAGATATTTATGGTTTTTATATTAATTTATCTGTGCTTTTTACAGAATATGCTCCACTGGGGGAAAATTCAAGAAGGAAGATTATGTAGCACTGGTCGTCAAAATCTGTGTCGACACTGCTTGTCTTAAACAGAAGATTCGAAAATATGGCGGTTCTGGAAAATGCTGTTTTTTTTTATATATTTGCTCGGCATGACTGATACTATATATATAGAAAGATTGTATAGCGCCAATTAAGAGCGGTCTGCTTGTCTTGGAAACGTATGTTGGATGATTGCATTATGCCAGCTTTCGGAGTTTACAGAAAATATATGACTATCTCAGTCACAAATCAAGTCTTGATTTGCTTTTGTTGTTTTTTTCCTTAATTATGGAGACCTTGTTTCATAATAAACTCAAGGAATATATTTAAACTAAACGGGCTTTCAGACCGCAAGCGTTTCTTTTCGGATAGCCTTCAGCTGTTAAAGACTGTAAAATAAATTACTTCCAGTCGAAAAATACATCGTTGGCACTATTTTGGTCAACAAATTTCTGAATTTAATCCGTTTTTTATTTTCTGTGGAGTTTTTGTTTATTTATTTCACTTGTTTAATCTTGTGTGAATACATAATTAATAGATTCCTCTCGTTTTGGTATCAAACAGTATTGCATTTTTTTTATTCTGGAGCAATTCACTTAAATTTTTTTTTAACGCAAATGAAAAATGAAAATATAACGAACAAGAAATATCAGAAAGAATTTAAGACATAAAAAAAGTTTTAGCAAGGAAAAAAAATGGCTAAACGCAAAAATAGAAAAATCATAAATGTAAATAAAATCTTAGAACCCCCCAAAATTAAGTCGACAGAAAATATCTGTAGAAAAAAGATTTTAACAAAAAAACAGTTTAAAAAAAAGCAAGATAAAAATGAAATATTGAAAAAAAAAATCTGTCTTAATCTAAAAAAGTGAGACATAAAAAATGTAATGAAAAAAAAAATTCCGTCAATTTAGGGGGAAAAAAGATTTGCCTGAAGGAAAAATCCAAATTTTGCGGATTATTTCTTGGTTTATTGGGGTTTATTTTCGTTATAAGATTCACTGACCGTCGAAAGTTGGAGGGTTTTGATATAAATAAGTGAATAAATACATAAAAGGCCTCTTGATTGAGCAATAAAAAGTTGGCCGTTTAGACAACATGAAAGTACAATAGTTTTCTAAACTTTTTATATTTGAAATGAAATGTACAAAAAAAAAATGTCTGTTGCGTATGAACAAACAAGAGAGTTTGTTATTTCGCCTTTAGGCGGGATTTAAGATGACGCGGGAAAACAAAGAAGCAAAGAATGATGGGAAATCCTTGAAAATAGCGAGAAATGAGAATAACAGAATTAAGAAAGAAGAAAATAGAGACGAAAAGAAAGGAAACAAAAAAGAAGCGAAAGCCAGAAAAAAAAGAAAAACGCAGAGAGAGAGAGAGAGAGAGAGAGAGAGAAAGAGAGAAAGAGTGAAAGTGAGTGAGGAGAGATAGAGAAAATAATAATGTAAAATCGAAGAAAAAAAAAGAAATAAAAAGAGAAAACGTAAAGGAACTTGTAACAGACAAAAGAGAGATATGGCTTTGGTGTGAAAAAGAGAGATCTTTGCAATAAGGAGACGTCGGGAAGAGATTTGCTAAGTTAAGACGGCAAAAAAGAGAATCAAGATTTGGGAAACGAAAGTGGTACATGCGTCTGTAATATTGAAAGAGAATTGAGAAAAGGAGCCGACGAAGAGAGACTTGCGAAAGAGAGACGTAAAAGAAAGAGGGGGGAGCTTGAACTTTGAAAAGAAAAGAGAGACATGCTGTTGTAAGACAGAAAGTGAAATACAAAAATGTGTCGACGCTGAGAGACTTGTGAAGGTGAGACGTAAAAGAGAGAATGGGTGATCAGAGGTTTAAATTTCGAAAAGAAAAGAGAGACATGCTGTTGTAAGATGGAAAGTGAAATACAAACATGTGTCGAAGAGGAGAGACTTGCGAAGGTGAGACGTAAAAGAGAGAGGTGCAGATCAGAAGACCAAATGCTGGGAATTGTGAAACAAACAAGCGACATGCGATGATAAGGCGAAAAGAGTGAATTGCATTCATAAGACGACAGTGAATGACTTGCGACGGTGGGATCACAAAGAGGCGCGATAATAAGGCTTCATAGACATAGAATTGTGAAAGAAAAGAGACACGTGCGATGGTAAGACACAAATCGAGACACGCAATTGTCAAAATAGAGAATTTCGACGACAAGATGGCGACAAAGGACGCGCGAATGTGTTGTAACAGAAAAAGTTACTGAATGAGGAATAACCAAAACGGAGGTTGGAAATAAAATGGTAATCTTTATAATATCTGTCTATATTTCTGAGATGAGGTATTATGTACATTATTGACATTATTCAGGCTAATATTCTCATCTTTGTCGCCATATTTATTACAACGTTTCAGCCGTTGTACGCTCCGGCCTTCTTCAGGCGGTTGGAATGTCGAACTTAACCATTTATTTCGCTCACTGGCGTAGACTGTTCTAGTTCCATGTGCCATGTTTAATGGATGTCAGTTATTAGTTATCTCCTGTTAATTCACCTCTGAAATTTCTCCACTGCCTCCTCAAGGACACATGGTACAGTAGATAAAGGCGTTAGTTAGATCCAGTGAAAGGACCCAAAAGAGTGTGAGTTCAATACCCGGTTAAGGCAGTGGATAACTTGGAGAGGGGAATTAACAGGAGATAACTGATAACTGACATCCAGTAAACATGGCACGTGGAACTAGAACAGTCTACCCCACTGACCGAAATAAAGAGTTGAGTTGAACATTCCAACCACCTGAAGAAGGCCGGAGCGTACAACGGCCGAAACGTTGCAATAAATATGGCGACAAAGATGAGGACAATAATCCGAATAATGTAAATAATGTAATCTTTATAACATTAACAATATACAATACTCGCCAGCGGTGTGAAGCAGGTAAACCACAGCTAGTGGTGGCCTACTTAGAATATTCCCCCTACTTAAAATAGTTACGGTATATGACACTATATAAGCCTGTTCCTTATCTATCTATCTATCTATCTATCTATCTATCTATCTCGGTCTGTTTCTATCTATCTATCTATCTATCTATCTATCTATCTATCTCATTCTGTTCATTTCTTTCTATCTATCTATCTCGGTCTGTTTATATCTATCTATCTATCTATCTATCTATCTATCTATCTATCTATCTATCTATCTATCTATCTATCTCATTCTGTTCATTTCTATCTATCTATCTATCTATCTATCTATCTGTTGTAACCTAAAAAGTGTTACTGAATGACGAATAACCAAAACGGAGGTTGGAAATGAAATGATAATCTTTATAACATCAACAAAATACAATACTCGCCAGCGTCGTGAAGTAGGTAAACCACTAGTAGAGGTGAACTACTTAGACACCATATTATCCCCATTTACAATAGGGTCCAACATATTTATGAGGATTGGGAAATACACATTAGTGTTCATAGGTACGGTATATGACACTTTATTAAGATTTCTTAAGAGAACAGGACGATAAACGCAATACACGCTGTTTCAAATAAAAGAAAGAAAGTTTCATTGGAAATAAAACTTAAAATTATTAAAAAATATCGAATTAAAACTAAATCCATTAATTGTTAATATATATATATATATATATATATATATATATATATATATATATATATATATATGTCAGGGTTAAATTATACCAGGGGACAGTAATATAAAAAAGTGCTCATTATATATATAATCCAATGTTTTTTTTCTGTTATCCTCACATATCAGAATGTCCTTTCTCAAATTATGAAAAACTATTTATTTTACGCAAAAATATTTATTTTTCAACATAATCCCTTTCCATGTCAATGCAGGTAATACAATGCTTTTTTATCCACATGTGTAGGTGTTGCAACCTAGAAAGTGTTACTGAATGAGGAAAAATCAAAACGGAGTTTGCGAAGGAAATGTTAATCTTTATAAGATCAACAATATACAATACTCGCCAGCGACGTGAAGTAGGTAAACCACTAGTGGTGGACTACATAGACAGCATATTACCCCCACTTACAATAGTGTCCAATGTATTTATGGGGATTGGGATATCCCCATGAGTGTTCATAGTTAAGGTATATTACGCTATCAATCTAAGCCTGTTCCTTACCTCTCTATCTGTCTATCTATCTCAGTTTGTTCTCTATCTATCTATCTATCTATCTATCTATCTATCTATCTGTTGTATCCTAGAAGGTGTTACTGAATGAGGCATAAGCAAAACAGAGGTTGGAAATAAAATGGTAACCTTTATAGCATTAACAAAATACAATACTCGCCAGTGGCGTGAATAGGTAAACCACAGCTAATGGTGGACTACTTACACAGTATATTGCCCCCACTTACAATAGTGTCCAATAGTGTACAATAGTGAGAGAAAAAGAGTCATGCAATGATCAGGCAACCAACTTGCCATGTTGACGAAAACAAACGAAATTTTGTGACGAAATAAAGGAAACTTTGATAGAGAGAGTAAAGAGAGACTTACAATGGTGAGACGACAAAGAAAAATGCGATGGCCAGACGACGTAAGATTTGCGATGGTGAGATAAAAGAGAGACGTTTGATACGGAGGCAAAATGAGAACTGCGAAAATGCGACAAAAGAGAGACTTACTGTCATAAATCGACAGAGAAAGATGCGATGGTAAGAAGAAAAAAGATTCCGATATTTAGACAAAAGAGTCATATTTGACAGTTAAACAAAAAAGAGAGAGAGAGAGAGAATAGTCTTGCAGTGGATATTGCGATGGAGAAACGAAAGAAAGATTTGGCAATGTAAGAATAAAAAGAGATATGTTGTGGTAACACAACAGTAAAAATTGCGACGGTCAGAAAAGAGAAGTTTGCGATGGTTTCAAGAAATTGAGACAAATGAGAGACAAAAAATGGGGGCACGAAAAAAAGAAGACATGTGAGAGTGAGACGAGAGAGATTTGCAAAGATGAGACATTTTGATTGGTTGATTTGTTTTATTTACGGCCAATGAAACGTTTGTCGGTAAGACGACGAGACAAAGAGATGTGAGAAGCTAACACGATAGAGAGACCTCTAGAGGTGAGACGAACGAGAGAGAGAGAAAAAAATCAAATGAAATTTGAATGGGTAGGAAAAGGACAAGAAGGATGGCCGGAAAACAAAGGAGGAGAAAACGGGGAAAGAAACGAAGTAAGAAAGAAAAAGGTGAATAGAAAGGGGAGGATATGAGGAAGAAGGAGAAAACGAAAGAGAGGAGAACAAACAGAGAACCAAAATAAAAAGAAAAGGACTGTGGAAAAAAAAAAAAGCAGCAAAAAAGAAAATTAGAACAAATATTTTTGACGCAATAAATTGTTTTATTGTAATTGTTCGTCAATGTATGTTTTCCTTTGGGCAACGAAAAATCCGAAAGAGGGACGGCAAATCATCCCCTCACCCAGAGATCTTTTCATTCGTGTTTTATATATATATATATATATATATATATATATATATATATATATATATATATATATATATATATACATACACATACATAAATATATATTATATGTACATATATTGAATTAGTTTACGTACAAAGACATAAGCACAAACATATATATATAACATATATGTTATATATATACATATATATATATATATATATATATACAAACGTATATATATGTATATATAAATATATTATGTTAGTGTACGTACAAAGATATATACACAATCATTCATATATATATATATATATATATATATATATATATATATATACAGACACACAGACACCCATATAAATATATATTATATGTACATATATTGAATTAGTTTACGTACAAAGACATAAGCACAAACATATATATATATATATAACATATATGTTATATATATATATATATATATATATATATATATATATATATATATATATATATATATATATAAACATATATGTATGTACATATAAATATATGTCAGTGTACGTACAAAGATATATACACAATCATTCATATATATATATATATATATATATATATATATATATATATATATAGGGACATCACACAGCTATATTTATGAATATCTTTACTGGGAGGGGTTTAGGGTGAGACTAGAAGGATCGAGAAATAAAATGAATTGTGTTAACTTATTTCCAAGATTTGATAATGGCAATGTAAGTTTGAACGGAATAAAAGAATTAGGGATAGTAGCTGGCCCGGGGTGGGGTGTTTGGAAGTGACAGAATTTCGCTGGTCTCATAAAGGGGGGTGGATTTTGAATAAAGAAAACGAATTAAAAAGGCGAGTTTTGTTTTCAGAAACAAATGGAATTAAGTTCTCAAAAAAAAAAATGGCAGGCAGAAAATTTAGAAACGGAATCGGAATGTCAACACAAAAGTTCCAAAGTACAAAATCAAGAAAAACATTCGACAAGTAAGAAGGAAAATGAGTCAAAAAAAAGGTTATGGTTTGGGATGTTTTGGTAAAAAAAAGAAAGAACAGTAAGATATATAATCCGCTGTTCTCATAGATATTTTTATTTTTGCAAAATAGTGCTCAATGTAAATTCACAGAGCATTAAATATTATAAATTAATTGATTTAAAATATGTTTTTTTTTCGCTACACAGTTCTAACCATGTTTCAAAAATGGAAGCTAAAAGCTTCGAATTTAATTTTGTAATTAAGTTAAAGACATTAATTTCATCCTCGAGCGAATTCTTTAATTTAATTACAAAATTAAATTCGAAGCTTTTAGCTTCCATTTTGAAACATGGTTAGAAATGTGTAGCGAAAAGAAACATATTTTAAATCAATTAATTTATAATATATATATATATATATATATATATATATATATATATATATGTGTGTGTGTGTGTATGTGTAATGGCAAAAGAGTACTGTTTCGCTGTATCACAGCCCCTAAATGCGAATAAATATCCGAATACTTCAAAGCAGAACCGACACCAGACCGATTTGGTATCGGTCATAGTTTCTACCACTGAGCTATCAT